TACATACGATACGTAACGTATCATGTACACGAGTGCTCAAGCAAACGTGCACGTTTGGACCGAGCACGTGATCCTCCGCAACCATGACATGAAAAAGATTACTAGTAGTACGGTATGGGTCGTACCGGTACGATTCAGCTGACGTCGCGCGATWGCAACGAAACAAACGAATGAAAACCCGTGAAATCCCGTTCAAACCCGCACCGCAGTCMATTGTTTCATCAAAAAAGATCTACGACGACTGCGGTCRAAGATTCTTTCTCGTCAATCGCTAGGCTCTTTTTTGTTGCCTCATTACAGTACATTGTATTTTGGGTTCGGGTCCAACACAGTACTTTACGTCTCGTACCAAGCGATGTCATCAAAAACGGTACWGGCAGTAGCGGGTTCAAGTACTGTCCCCGTAGACAAGTCACGCTAGAAAATTAATATCGTTGTCATCGCAGGGTTCAGGAAGGAGCGAAGATGAAGGACGATAAAGAAGCATTGCCAGCCTAAGAAACATACTACCGGTACAAACACGAACTCCATCGAACACACCAAATAATTAAACAATATCGCACCATGGTCTTCACACTTTCCGTTCCCAGCGAGTATGGCTTTGTCGTCCTCGGCGCCGGCGTCGGCTCAGTCGTTTGCAACTTTTTCCTGGCCGGTGCGGTGATGAAGGGACGAAAAGACTGTGATGTTCCCTACCCGAACCTCTACGCGACTCCCGGATATCACAAGAAGGCCGACGAGTTCAACCGCATCCAGCGCTCCCACCAAAACTTCATGGAAACCCTCGATTCCTACATCGCCATGACCCTCCTGGGTGGACTGAAATATCCYATKGCCTGTGCCGTTGGAAGTAAGTAGAACTAGCATTATGGAATACCGAAAAAGTGCGAGTGTTTGTACAGTACTGGGAGCTCATTACAATCCAAGAAGCTGCACGAATGAACGAACGCAACCMAGATCGATTCGGTTGGGATGCAATCGTGATCGTCAATGAATTTCCCACGAGGGACTTGAATTGTGTCCTTKCACACCGGATCTAACTTTCCTTTTTTTCACGAACGATTCAAACATTGATGACTACACCGCTGACGACGACGACGACAAACGAAATGAATCAAATGCATCCCAATGAATCTTACGACACCACAGCCGTGTTCTATTACGTCGGATCCTATTTCTACCAAAAGGGTTACATCGATACGTCGCTCGACGTTGCCACTGCACGATACAAGAAAGGAGGCGCCATCAAATGGATCGGCTTCTTAACCAGCATGATCTCGACCATCTCCCTGGCCATCTCCATGATCAAATCCAAGTAAGGCACTTAAGCGATGCGAGCACGCAACGAATCGATTTCGCCGTGGGCAAACGTTGGCATAGCACGATGCGGGCGTTGGCCAAACGGCAGCTTGTTCATCACGTTTAAATTGAAATCATTTTGTAGAAGGTCTTTTACCACGACATCTTTTGTTCTTAGGATTCGTCATCACCGTTCGGACGGGGCATTCTCCATGAACGCGCACTTGCCACCGGGTTCGCCGCCGGCGGTCCCAGCCGTCGCATCGAACGAAGTGGGGCCCTCCACGGATGCCACGTTGCCCCCGCTGTGCCAGCTCCGCATCGAACCGGCGGTCGGACACCGCGAGAGGCAGGGCGTGTTCTTGGCGTCGAACTCGTCTCTCTCGTCCGGGGCCCTGCCAAAGGCGAACTGACACTCGTGGGTTTCGTAGTCCGGCGTCATGGTYAGAGGCAGGCCCATGTCCTCCGCAAAAAAGTTCTGGGTGGGGATCTTGCACGAGTTGACGCAGACGCTCGCGCACCCCGATTCTTCCAGAAAGCGGCACCGCTTGACCAGGAGTCCTTGGTCCTTGTACGTGGTTCCGTCGATCTCGATGTCGTTTATTTCGCATTCCCCCATGAGCCAGGTTCCGGCCATGTACGTGGCCCATGCGTTCATTCGAGAAGAAAACTACAAGGGGAGAGCAACGCACCAGAACACATGCACGCAAACGAGTGTTTGAAAGACAAAAGAACAGTCAGAACAGCGTGCCAATTGTTAGACGGGAACTTTGGATGGGTATTTTACAAAGGATTGAATGGAAAGCCCCTGCCACGGGCCAGTGGCCACAGAAATTGAGCCATACCCGTTGGCAGGAACCAAGCAATTCCAAAATAMGGATACGCACCTCGGGAAATGGCCTTGCAAAGAGAATGGCAAACTGGCCCGGAAGCCAACTCGGAAAGAGAGAACCTGTGGCGGCAGCAAAGAGGGRAAAAATGCAAGTAAGCAAACGGTGGACGAACGAATTGACGAGCATTACCACGGGCTTTCAACTTTGGTACACCGAAGCATTCACCTGGCACGGCCGGAACAATTTCAGCGATCGACTGCGTGAAATCGGCTGGCACCACAACAGTATAGATCCATGCCATRCCAGGCCATATTCGGTGATCCCGGAACCCAGAATGCAACCGTTGCAACTCAAATTCGGTGTTAACTCACGCAGCGTCTTTTGGGCAATGGTCTGGATTTCCTCCCGGTCGCTGTACCGGGCATTGAGGGCGGCCGTCAGCTCGATGAGGCCGTCGTAGTCCGTCTTTGGGAGACTGGAATCGACGCCAACAAACTCCGCGAGCCTGGTCCGAAAGATCCAMAGGAAGACGTCGTCGACCGCCTTGCCAAGGGGCCCGTGGATGTTGGCATAGTCCGGTTTCGTGGCCGGATCGGGSCCCCTCGTGAACATCGCGGAAGCGGGCGGYGACGACGCTTTTGGTGTTGCGGAAGCCGTCGCCGAMGGCCGTGCCACGGAAGGTTCTTTGAACTCCGCAAAAAACGGGGTTTCCTTTGCTTGCGCGGTCGATTGCAAGGCTGCTGGGTGCTTCTGGTTCGTCCTCCCGCCGTGTCGGCTCACGGTGATCCGTGTGCTGTGCGCTCCCGTCTCGGCTGCCTTKGAAAATCCGCCATCGCCGGGCCCTTTCCCCATCACCCCCCGCTGCCCCGACGAAACGAAGGCATCGACGACCGCAATGCCTGCGAACCCAGCAATGGCGTAGAAGACCCACCGGTTTCGCCGTGGTTTTCGTGTGGGATGGGAGGTTGCCATGCTTGTAAATCGATATCGAACAAATAGATCGCTCTTCGGTACGAGTACCGTAGTGTGCTCAGATCCGTCCGACATGCGATGGAATCAGTGAAAGAGATACGGTAGATAGCTACCTTATGTAAGGTAGGTTTTCTTACACACGGAACGATTTTGATTGTTCTTCGTTGAAGTCGTCGGCACAGTTTTGAGCTCTCGAGTTCGTTGATTGATAAACCGACGCATCGGAAGGCGATATATTTTTAAGGATAAGGTTATATTATATTTTGGGAAGCATCCCGCCAAAACAGTTGCCGGCAGGAATGGTACGGTACTTTATGCCCTCGTACTCGTACTCGTACTCGTACCCGTACAATTCTAGAAGCGCATTTTTTGATGTCAAGACGCGCAGACAGAGTGGGCGCATGCGAGCAGAGGTCAAAAATTGAAATTCAAAAATTGTGCCGTTCCGTGTTGATTAAAACTCGATGTGGGAGTTCCGACATCCGACTCCATTCATCCCCCCCCATACCGGTACGAGCACACATTCCAATACAGACGACGCCTCCTCTTCTCTGCACGAACATCCCTGGACATTCCCAATCCGATTGCCGGCCTTTCTGTTTGAAACTCGAAACCCAAAATCATGGCTGGCCCGAACCATCCCCACCACCAATACGGAGGAGGATACGGRAACAACACCAATGACTCGTCGTCGTACAGCATGCTGTTTTCTCCCGCYGCTTCGTCGCTGGCTTCGACGCCGGGAGGCGGGTACCCTATGGGCCGCAACAGCATGAACACCAACGCAACCGCGAACATGCCTCCTCCATCCGCATACACACCCAGCAACCACAACCACAATTATCCACAGCAGCARCAACAAGAACTGGAACTGAACTGGGATCCCACCCGGGTCAAAACCGAACTCCTCAAAGCCTCGGCCATTCTGTCCCACCGGTGCCTGAAGCTCGCCGGGAAGTGGGCGGCGGAGCAGGTCACGGGGATCCCGGTCGGAACCGCCRARTCCGTAGTGCCAGGGGATGGGAACCACGGAGGCAACGGCAACCACGCTGGTGGCAACGATGTGGACTTGTCGTTCACKACACACGACAACAGCCTCGATGGCAACGAACACGACGACGAACTGTTCGGCGAAGAACCCTCCAACTTGTCCATGCTGAACGAACTYGGATCCATGACCGCCGAGGACTGGCACGCCAAGTCCCTTTTTGAACTGGGCGAATTCCTGCACGCGGCCTCGGTTCTGAGCAGCGAAAAACCGACAGTATCCGAAAGCACAAAGCGAGACAACAACATCAATAGCAGCGTSAGGGACATTACGCAAATGGGGCCGCCCAAGGAAAACTTGTCGCCCTACGGGTTCTATCTAAGGGCATATGCCCTGTACATGGCGGGGGAACGGAGGAAGGAAGAAGACTACAGCGAACTCGAGGCCGCCAATGCTTCGGCCGGAAATCCCAACGAGGGTGGTGCCGGTGGCGCCGGAAAGTCCTCGGCCATGGTCCTGTCGACCTCGAAAACCCGCGCCAAGAATCCCTACCTGGCGCAGCTGGTCCGAGAGGTGTCCCGGGCCTACAGTAACAATAACCGACAGGGCATCGTAGACAACGAGGGCGGCAAGACAAACCACCATTCGTCGCTGGACGCCTTTGGCCTCTACGTCTACGGAATGCTACTCAAGGAGGCCCAGAAGGAGTCGATTCCCTGTCCMCACCCACCCCACATGGTTCTGGCCGAGAGCCTGCTGGAATTTCCTCTGAACTGGAGCGCCTGGCTCGATCTGTCGGAGGTTCTCGTGAGCGGGGGCAACGGGAACCACAACCAGCCAACCAACAACCACARCAATCTCGATGGAAGCAACCGGATCGCCAACATGGAGCAGCAGGTTGAGCAGGCYCTGCAGCCAACCCTTGCGACGCACTACATGTACCACTTTTTCTGYGCCCACCTCATGGCCCACCACCACAGCGCCCACGAGGAGGCACTGGTCCTCCTGGAGCGGCTCTACGAGCCCCTCCCGGACCAGCCCCTYTTCCAAAGCCCCCACGTCAAGACCCAGCTAGCCGTCGTGCACTACCACCTCCGGGAGCTCGAACAGGCACTGATGTGGTTCCGGGAGACCTCTGCAGACGACCCCTACTCGCTGGACCACAGGGACGTGTACTCGAATATTCTGTACGTTAAGGAAGACAGGGTTAGTCTCTCTCATCTGGCCCACGAGGCCGTCGTCATCGACAAGTACCGCCCCGAGACCTGCTGCATCGTGGGCAACTACTATTCCCTYAAACAACAGCGGCACAAGGCCGTCCGGTACTTCCAGAGGGCCCTAAAGCTGGACCGGTCCTTCACGTCCGCATGGACCCTCATGGGCCACGAGTACGTCGAGCTGAAGCAAACCGAGCAGGCCATGGAGTCCTACCGGAGGGCCGTCACGGTCTCCCCCAAGGACTATCGGGCCTGGTACGGCCTAGGCCAGACCTACGAGTTCCTCAACATGTACCTGTACGCCCTTTTTTACTACCGCAAGGCGGCCACCCTCCGGCCCTACGATCCACGCATGTGGTGCGCCGTCGGCCAGTGCTTTGCGGCCCTCCACAAGATCCACGACGCCATACGGGCCTACGAGCGGGCCATTGCCCAGGAAGACAACGAGGGCATCGCCACCCAGAAGCTAGCGGCCTTGTACCGGCAGGAACGCCGGGAGGAAGAGGCGGCCAAGTGCTACCTGCGACACCTCGAGCTGAGGTACATGATCACCTGCGCGGCTCCGGAACACGCCGGCAATCCGCACGCGCACCAACAACMACACAAATACGGGACCGGCGCTCCCACCCTGGACACCATTGTGCAGGGGGTCGTCCTGGAATCCGTTGAGGCCGAGGCCATGCTTTTTTTGGCGGAATACTTCAAGTCCAACGGAGCCTTTGACACGGCCGCCCTGCTGTGCAGCCGGCTGGTAGAATACCCTGGCCCCGAAAAGGAGCAAGCGAAGAGCCTTCTCAAGGGGCTACGGTACATGAGCATGGGGAAGGGCAACCAGAAGTAGGAGAGGTGCTACTATACAATCTAAGGGGCAGCGTGTCATATTGCATCGTGGACCGTTCAGTCTAGGAAGCGAGAAAAGGCTCATCAATCTGGTGACAGCAATCATCGAAAATAATMACAGTACTAGTGCTAAATTATTTTTCTCCAACGATCGAGCTTTCGCTTCTTTTTGTACAACGGCACGAGCAACGGATTTTCCCACGAGGCCCTTGCCTTAGTAGTTCTGTGCATCGTGGCATGCTTTAGTTGGGATGTTCTATTTTTTTTTTGAGACTTCAAGAATAAGACAGACYAGCAGACCTTCTTTGACGATGCCTATCTTGCTGTAAATTCACAGCTTATCACGAATTGATTCAGGSAGGAGATGAAGGTGTACTACAAGCTCTGCCAAAGGGCATAGGTCGCAACAGTCAGAAAAGACCCAAACACTTCTTGATAGACAACTCCACTAGAAAGAATAATATTTTTTGTAAYTCCGTTGTTTTTTCATTTTTTTRAACTTGTGTGTGATTTTTAATTTTAATGGTGTCGACGGACAGACTGACATMAACGATAAGAAATTCACTTGTTTCTTGCACTCAGGATTGCATTCTTTTCGGTATCCTTAGTTGAAGGATTTATTCGAATTTGGAGAACAGGCACATCCACATCAACAGATCTTCATTCTCGGGTCCTCGTCGAAGGCAAACAGTGGTAAYATTGTAAACAGTAAAACAGTTTATGAGGGCGCCTCGTCAGTTCATAAGCTGTACATACGTCCTGGCATAAAGGGGACATACCAGAGAAGACAAAAGTGCGAGTACCATMATTTTCCTACGCGCAATTGCGTTGACTATGACGAACAATCGAAACGCCYACCGTACCGCTAGTCAAGACGCAGTCCATTTCCTTGACCGCGATGCTATCGTCATGCATACATCAGCATGTGGAGACTACGAATTTCATGTTATCGGGAATAGAACCCTCCATGGTTATGGAACGATAACGAATACTAACACATGTTTGGGGGGTTCGCTTGTATCTAGGGAGGAGGATATTGATTTGCCCATAGCAACGAAGTCAGATCTTGGATTGGATCTAAGCGGYGAAAKCGCTTCTTGCACAACTCTTGCTTTTGGTAGCAGAAAAAGAGGCAAAACATTCCATATCTACAAGCACTTCTTTTTCCTGACATGCCTGTTTGGCTTCGGATTTGCGATCGTGGGATTCTCTCGGCACCAGGGATTGCAAACCAGCAGCGAAGCAAAGCTCACTGGAAGCCTATATATCTTTAACGAGTTGTTTCGCGGTAGCTTCAAAAGGAGGCCTTCCACTGTCTCTCTCGAACGGCCGCCACCACGGACAAGATCCCTCTTGTTGGTTGCGGAAGCCCAGGTTACCCCGTGCAACCCAATCGTCAACGAYATCGACCGCCAGCTGACCGCAAAGGGGATGCAGGATGCGGAAGGACTCGGTCTGTACCTCAAGCAGCACTACATCCCAGAACCTGACTGGATTTTTACCTCTCCTTCAGAACGAACCGCGTTCACAACGGAGCTGATGCGGCGGCACTGGGCKTCCAATAAACCCGTGGCCTTTGAGGACATACTCTACACKCTTGAATTCAACGACTATTTCAGCTTTGTGACCGGGTTGAACGACAACTTTCATCGAATCATGATCGTCGGTCACAACACAGCAATATTGAACACTGCCAAGAAAGTCATGAAGACACATGGGATTGAAGACTTTCCAGACGCGGGTTTACTGGAAATCCGATGGGCGGATTTAAACAGCTGGAGCATGGTGCAGCACAACAGCGGGTCTGCCAAAATGGCTATCGATCCAAACAACAATTTTCTTTATACTTCTCCGAGATGACAGTTTACAGAATAAACTATTGATAGCGATTTATGCATTGTAACAACGCGTCTGAAAATAAGTGATAAAATCGAGTAAAGTTTTTTCGTAGAAKTACTAATATAATATGATTGCAGTTCTATGAAGTATTGAATAGGGCTAAAATGCCATTCGTTTATTCTACAAATAACTCGTAATCTGTGTACGGAATGTCCGTATCGATCTCGCCATCTTCGTCGAACACAACGTCAATAGAGCCATCGGCCAACACCAATAGGATGGTCCCAGCGACATCTCCGACCATCACTCTGGATCCTTCCGTAATTGGCGGCCGTGTTCTGATCGACTGCCTCTTGACTCGACCTAATTCAGTGGTCTCTATTTCAGGAACCTCTGAACCATCAAAGGCAATGTGGTAGCGAGCTCGCCCGTCGTACGTTTTCTTGCTCGAAATACCAATCAAGGTTGCGAAAAATATTTCATCTGAAGAGCCGTCTCGAGAATTATCAATGGAGTAATATATTTCCATCCCGGGAAACAGCGATGGCAGGCTATCCCCCACCATGTATCTACGAATTCTGCTATTGTTGTGAGAGATGTTTGYGTTTTCATGAACTTTTTTCCGCTTCCTCAATCGAAAACTAGAATGTGGAAGAATGGWTCGAAAAGCAAGCGACGATGTTGAAGAATCTCGAACCATTTCTTGATTCAAATTCTCCTTCAAGTATTTTTTATTTGCAGGGGAGAAAAGACTTTCTGACAAATCGGCAACAAAAAGCTGAGAATTCCAAGCCATGGAAAACGTTTTCCGCTCGACTCCGAAGCGATATCGATTCAGCATAAGCTCCGTTTCGTCATTCAGCGCCCCCAACAGAGTGTCTTTACTTCCGACAAAGAGTCTCTTGTGGATGTAWTTTTTGCTTTCGGCCTCGCTCAGGACCTTCCAATCGCCGGATCGATAATCCTGCATCAAGAATCTACCATCGTGTCGACTTTGGATAGTATTYAAGGCCACCGATGCCAGSTGGTCGGCCAAGCTCAAGGGCAATTGTGATACAGCATGACTTTCTTTGTTCAGTTGCAAGAGCGAGTGGTAAAAGTTTCCATTGCCCCCATATGTGTTGACAAAGTCATTGAAGACGCTGTTCCCCGGATGATAATCTAGCCACGTCCGGTAGGCCCCGATTGCATTCGTATGGTATCGGGTACCAATCAAAACATCTGACCGCCTCGGAAGTGTGGTGTTGCCACCCTGGACACCGGGATCCACGTCTCGATAGATCGGATCGGGTGGAAACGGCCTCATAAGGGTAGTCCCCGAGTCAATATCGATCGCCCACTGGGACGATCGAATTAACACGTGCCAAACGTACAACCCAAAAGCGAGAATAGAGCCGTGGGTCCATACAAGGCGCCGGGCACTCGCTTTCAAAACCGGAATAATAACGGATCTTTCTCGATTCTTTTGGCCGGAAAATCTATTGTACAAGTGTGCCAAGATTGCGATGATAACCATAGCCACCATAAATCCAGTGAGACCAATAGCGTTCGCGCGATACAAAAACCCGTGCGTCTTCTGGATCGTTTCCCGTAAATACATCTGCCAGGCTTCCTCTGAATCGTAGTCAATGGTCCCCTGCAACCACTCCGGATAACGCAACGGAATCATCACGTTGTCTATGAGGCCCTCCAGATCTCCGGCTTCGCCTCCCATTTGTTCGTTGGCAATCCGCAACGTCGTCGCCGTAAACAAATCGTATCCCCATGATCGATCRGAGGCTTTGTACAGATGYAGGCACCGCAAAATATTCCAGGGCCGCTTGAGCGATTCCGCCGCATCGGCCATGTCCTGCCAGGTTGAACCCCAATTCAGCCACTTTTGGTGGAAGTAGGTCCCTCTTGCTAGCTGCCGGGGATCGGCGGCACTTGGGCGTTTCAAAAAGCTCACGATAAATACCACCCGATCGTCCATGTCTTCGTCAGTGTGTGCSGTTCCTCGGTGCCATCCCTGCTGGTTCAAGAGCGCCCCGTCCCCAGCCCTCCAAGTGCCCTCTTTSKAMAGGTCCTCTAGGTATTCCTTCGTTCCCTCGACGGAGGGATCGTATAAATGGCGCGGCTTGGCCTTGCGAATCTCGTGGAGGCCAATCTTGTTTTCCTCGCACATGTCCCACAAATCCTCGTCGGCACACATGTGCGTCCCGGGACAGAGATCTGTAGGCCCCATCTCGCCTACTGTGTCCTGGAGAGGCAGAAAGAGTGAATACGAGTGGCTGTATGTCCGGCCAAACATGACCCCGTTTCCGTCAGGCTTTACGTCCGGGTGCCACGACTGCATTTCGGCACCGCCCCAGGCCGTAATGGCGGTGATTTCCGACAGCGCCGGGTTTTCGTCCCCGACCAGGTTTTGGATGAGCTCTGCAAAGACGCCGTGGTCGTGGATCTCCTTTAATGCCCTCACGACGGAAGGATGCTCGGTCGACTCGATCCCGTACGAAATCCGGTGGTGCGATGCCGACATGGGGTACTGGTCGGGGGTCCCCAAGACACGCTCATTTTTGTCGACAATGAATTCCCGCAGGTCTTCCATGGTCGCATCGCTCAGGATTTGTGGGATCATGACCGACCCGTGTTTCATCATAGAACGGACGGCCTGTTGGCCGGCCCGCTTSGCCACCTTTTTCGGGATGGGTCGGAGCGCGGGCTTTTCCCAGATATTGTACGCGGGAGCAAAGCGMCGCCGTCTCCGACCGAGTTGTTTCTGTTGGTAGGCAATCTTTTTGCCGTGCTCGTCCCAGATTTCGTCTTCGATACTGTCGTCGTCGTCGTCGTATTCGAAGAGGCTGGGGTCCACAAAGATATCCAACGCATCGTGTTTGTCGGGATTCACGCCGAGGTGAATGTGGTGGTGCTTCGAAGTGCTCACGTCMGAGACCCCACACTTCCGATTGTAATAGGTAACCTCGTCCTGCAGATCCGAGTCGAGGCGGCGGGCCCGTTCCAAAATAGTCACAAAGTAGTTGTCGTGGAAGTTYCCTAAACAGCACACGGCCACAAAGGCCAAAAAGGAAACGGCCAGCGCGGCGTGCCCTGCGATGCAAAGGCACCTGTAGACGAACAACGCAGTCCACTCACAGACGGATGCGATAACCGAAACACCCATGTCCAGGAGTGACGGCTTTGATGGTRTTGATTTTGGAACCTTCAATTGGAAGCCGTCATCGTTTGCGGTGCTCTTCCGACTGTGACTTGTAGAATTGAACTGGTTGTACGCTTTTTGGACCGCCTCGCGGGTGTCGGATCGATCGGTCTCCATAACCGTTGACATCTGCGTTGAAGATATTACTGGCATTTCGGTTTCGRCTTAAGAAAAAGAAAAGTTTGATTGAATACTACTGCACCCCCCAATCATCAAAAKATGTTTCCTTTTCCCCTACGGTGTCGTTGTTGTCGTTTTCTGTAGATTCGATGTTCTGTCTAATCAATTGTGGTTTCAATCGGCTTGAGAGGAATGTATTCTGTTGGGTATCTTTCCCCAGAGTTTTAATCTGCGTTTTGCTTTTAGTTTGAACACTGCGTGTACAAGCAAACTAAGACCACCTTTCATCCACGCTTCGGGTTGGACGCCCACTTGCACTGAGGGGAGATGTAACAAGAACAATATTTAAGGTTGCTGTTCAATAACTGCAATAATTATTGCGTTAATGTAACTCGTGTCAAATAGACGTTCGTAGCATTCCGTACCGTAGAACTCTGGAAAAGACCGGGTGTGATAATTTTTTTTTTTCTGACTTGCTCAACGGATGGAATTGGGTTGCTTGAGTCGATAGAGTCAACTTTATATAAGACTAGAATAGTTTTTATCTGCCAACGAACGGCTTCYGTGGATGTTCCTCATTTTTTGTATGGTAATTTACGGTATGAGACATCAAGACCAAATAGTCATAAAAAATTATAGCCCTATTCAACGATCAACAACAGATTCACATTGAACAGGGCAAGATTGTTCTATTGTCCGTTCAATCTTGGATTTTTCGTCAAAGAAGTCTTCTAATCTAAAWACGGTGCTAGAAAGACCTATCAATAGCTGTAGTTCTCAGCACTACACCTTTCGACAAAAAAAATCCAAAAGTCGTATTGGCACTGCAACCATCTACATAGCTGTTGTACAGTATGTTACGTTGGCTTGTGTTCGTGGTTCGTACCGTACGGTAGACAAACTCGGCGACGACATATTTTAAGGAAAGGTCTTTCTAACGAACGGAAAATTACCGRTTTCGTACGGCTATACTAGTACCGTTGTACAAGTACGGCTTTTCATTCACCTCGACGACGCTCACACCACATCCCTTAATACCTCGTATCTATTCTTTGTTGCTACTTCTGTGTGRCAGCATACTCAGTTGTACCACTATTGTTCACGAGCAATTTCAACCTTTTTTTGGTGAGATAAAGAAAGAAAAAAGAACATACAAGTAAAGACTACGGCCGTAATAGTTGCCTAGACGGGAAGATTGCATTTAAAGGATTTGAAGAGGAACAATGCTGGTTTCCTTGAGACGAACTTTGCCGCTATGCAGTAATTTGATTCTACTAATGATGCTTCTATCGAGTGCACGTTGGTTTGTGGCCGGCTCTCCGTATTCGGTCGCTACGGATTCGGTGACGGGCATCAAAGGCGAACACGATTATTCTGGCTCGCCCAACGACTTTGAAGAAGYTCAGGATGMCGAATGGATTRAAAAGACCTTGGCCWATCGCAAGTWCCTTACCAAARAGGGTCGAAAGGAGCTGGAARACAATCGAATGATTCGCATGCTAGAGAAAGAACAGAACGAGCGACAAGGACAGCAGCARCAACAACAAACTCAAAYACACGAACYGACGAGAGGCACMAACAGCATTCGGGGAGGACAACAGCAGCCACAGCAGCAACAATCACAACGAGATTTGCAGCCAGATTCCTCCGTGCCTGCCCTAAAAGTGCTTGTRGTTCTAGTGCAATGGGCAAACCATCCCGATCGAGACAAAGCTGTCTCCGTCGCAGACTACGAAGCCTTGTTCAACGGAAGCGGCCGCGATCCCGCATTGTATCCMGGGGGAACCGTTAAGGACTACTTCGATACCGTATCGTACGGAGAGTTTGATGTAGAATTTGTGATTGTCCCCGAGTGGTATTTGAGCGAGTTTACCGAGCAGGAATTCACGGCCGACGGAAGCAAGGGACGGACCGAAGAAATCGAGAAGGCCTTTGACCCCGCTTTGCAATGGTGGGACGACGACTTGTTCGATTTTAAACAATTCGATAGCGACTTTGACCGCAAGATCGATTTCACGGTGTTCGTTCACAGCGGGTACGATGGAACGGATGGCGGGACGGATTGTGAGACGGGCAAGACATCGATGGAGCGGGTGGCCTCGCACGCCCGGGTTGCGGCCGGTGCCTCAGAATTTATGTCCCGGGACTCAGTGGGGCTCGGTGCATACATCGTGAGTGGAGCAAATGAATAGCACTCTTTAGTTGTTTTTTTTTGTCTGTTTGATTGCATCTTTTTTCGATCGACTGAGTTGGGAGGAGAAACGAATGGTTCTACTGATTTTTGAAAATCTTCGATTGAATTTGATGTTCGTCCAACTCACCATTGATCACACCATACATCGTTCCACATGCCCTCATGAAATCTAACGCAACAAAACAATAAACATACCACGCAATGCACCAACAGGTGGTCCCGGGCTTTCGCGGGTTTTGCAACACTGAAATCATTGAGATCGGAACACTTGTTCATGAGTTTATTCATCCATTTGGAATTCCAGAGATGTACGACACGGGTGACCCATTCCCAACGGGCAATTTAGGCGGCCTCGATCGATTCAGTGTAATGGCCAACTCGGCCGGAAATTCCGRCGGGGATCTGTCTTGGCCAGGGCATCCCGATGCCTGGACACGCAGCGAACTCGGATGGGCGAATCCCACCGTGATCGAGTCGGATGGAACTTACGAACTGCGGCCTGTGGAGGAACACCCGGACATGTATAAAATCACAACGGGGTTCGGGGAGAACGAGTATTTGTTGCTCGAGAACCGGCAACCCATCCCCAATGATTTCGATGAGAAGTTCTTTTCTCCCGGTGGAATTGCTATCTATCATGTGGACGAGAACATCTGGGACGTATTTCCAGGTAGAATCCGAGGAAACGATCCTCGCGGTGGACCTTTTCTAGAAGGTTGGCCTGGCAATGGGAGGCACTATGCTGTTGCCCTTTTGCAAGCTGATGGTTTGTACGAATTGGAGCAGGGAATCAATGGTGGAGAAAGCACAGATCTGTGGAACGAAGCAACCCAGGTGCTAGGTCCTGGGAATGGAGAAAAGGTCGCTTCCACCGCCAATTATCCAAACACCGATTCTTATCAGAACGGTGTAATCACCCCCACTGGAATTACCCTAAGCAATTTCCAGACCAAAGAAGGAACAAACATCATGACGTTTGATGTTTGTGGYTTCGACAGCACTGATTGCCCGAAAGTTGGGGATACCCCTCCGGAAGCATCAGTGGATACCGATCCACCGCTGCTACCCCCGGCGACAGACGAACCATTGGTGACGGAACCCCCTACTGTTTCACCCACAAAGGCTACCACCGAAGTTCCTATAACGGAAACTCCCACCCAGATACCGACTGGTACCCCGCTTACGGAAAGTCCATCACAGACTCCAACCAATCTTTTGACAGAGGCTCCAACTGATATCCCCACGCAGCTTCCAACGAAGACACCGACAGAGGCTCCAACGCAGGCTGCGACGCAGGCTGCGACGCAGGCTCCGACTCAGGCTCCAACGCAGGCTCCGATGCAGGCTCCCACTCAAAATCCAACCGACACGCCTACCATTGCATTGTCATCGCAGCCCACTCAAATCGAACCCCTATCGAATATGATTCCTGTAGTCGAGCGAAACTCATTCTGCAATGGAGCTGTGCCAGTTACAGATGCTGAATCTTTCATTCAAGGATCTACCCAAAATGCGATTTATACGWCGCCGATTGACACTTGTGGTGTAGATATTGCCAATCCAGGTTTGTGGTACACGTACAATGGGACAGGATATCCTTTTGAAATAAGCTTATGTAGCTCAGACARTGCGAATGCATTTGACGCCTCCATGTCCTTATTTTCAGGAGACTCTTGTGATGAGCTAAGGTGTATCTCTGGTGCTACCTTCCGTGACCAAGTCTGTGCGAGTGTGGATGGCCGAAGAAATAGAAATCGGTTTTTACAAGAATTCAAYGAAAGTCTTGGTACAGCTGCTGCAAACTCCAGTATTATTGACAGCGWAGAGGGTACGACATATTATCTGTTAGTCCACGGATTAGATCCCTCTAACGGTACMAGTGTTGGGGATTTTGAATTAAGTATCCGATCACAAGCACCTCCTCCTACTCGTGCACCAACAACATTTCATAAACCTTCCAAGAAATCCTGGAACAACCTTTACTACTTATTTCTTCTCCTCMTCATCATAATACCTTGTGTGGYATATGGATACTATTTGAATTATATCAAAGACGAAGATCCATTTGACTTGGGAAAGCCTACGACCGATCTCGATATGGAACAGCCATCTGTAGACGATGAGGAATTTGAGTCAGCCTACACAGACAAGGTAAGTGCCCAAATATTACGCTTAGTTGATAACTGATCCTCTGCGCACTAGTCCACTCATGCTTTTGCAACTCTACGTTGAATCGATTGAAAATGTCGTTCTCGATATTGCAGAACGAACAATCACCAAGGACGTYAGATGAAACCGAAGATGTAAGTGAYCAAAACTTCTCAAACATTGATGATATTCTTCTCTGCCCAATCATCTCGTGGTTTCGTACGACTGAGATGATGCCCTCAGAACGTCATATCGACATGCGTCTCTCTGACTACTCTTCTCATTTCGTTGCTACAACTTTAGAAATCAATGCAAAACGAAGAATCCACAGTGACAGGAGATAAAA